CCCACACCCCTCCCCACCCGAAACCCGGATCGAGCCGGCCAGCAGTTCCGGACACCAGGCGGACTGAGGCTGCAGGCCCGACCAACCTGGTACTGTCATTCATTGTCTGATCCCTTTCCACTAGCCTTTGGACTGTTTGAACTGTTTGAATTTTGGTGAGTTGAGTAGCGCGTTGCGCGCCGCGCGATTTTCTTTTTCCATTTTGTTTTTCTTTGCTCTTGGGGTGTTGCTTATTTGGTCAGTTGAAGGCTCACCACTCCTTAGAAACAGCGAGGACTTTTGGCCTTCTAGGGCTAGAGGCAACAGTTAATGGTAATTGTGAGTAATAGGTAGGCCAACCATAAGAGAAATCATCAATCTTCTAAGCCTGTACAACTTTTAAGAATCAGAGATACCTTAATCAAGTTAGCAAGAAACATATAGATTACCTGATGACTAAGAACAATCGCAAAGGCTCAAGAAATATGAGCAACCAACAAAAGGCCTCTCCGTCAAGGGAAATCATCAATCCTACATCACCCACAGTCAATACAATGGACGTCGTGGACATGTCTGATAAGGAATTCAGAATATTTGTAGTGACCAAACTAACTGAGATGGAAGAGAAAAGAGACAAGGAGCTCCAGGAGATGAGGAAGTCCTTTAATGACTTGAAAGAAGAAATGGATACCCTAAACAAGAACCAGATGGAACTTCTAGGTTTGAAGAATGTGATAGAGGAAATCAAAACCTCCCTTGAAAGCATTAAATGTAGGTTAGACCAGGCAGAAGACCGAATCTCTAACGTAGAAGACAAAACATCTGACCTAGATAAAAGTATCAAGAAGATTGAGAAAACAACCATGAAAAATGAGGATAATATACGAGGAATACTGGACACCATCAAGCGCCCCAACATTCGGATAATTGGTATTCCGGAGGAGGAAGAAAATAATAAGGGCCTGGAAAATTTATTCCATGAGATCCTGGAAGAAAACTTTCCAAATCTAGAAAGGCATTCAAATATCCAGACCCAAGAAATACAGAGGACCCCAAGTAGAATCAACCCAAGAAGATCATCTCCAAGGCACATCATAGCCAGACTGGCAAAAACAACAGATAAAGACAAGATACTAAAGTTGGCAAGAGGGAAACGCCAGGTTACTTACAAAGGTCACCCCATCAGGCTAACATCGGATCTCTCAGCAGAAACAATGCAGGAAAGGAAAGAATGGGGAAGCATAGTCAAAGTGTTGAGTGAAAAACAATTTCAACCAAGAATACTATACCCGGCAAAATTATCTTTTATATGGGAAAAAAAGATAAAAACATTCTCAAATAAACAAAATTTGAAGGAATTTACCAACACCAGACCAGCTCTTCAAGAGGTTTTGAAGGGAGTACTATACCAGGAAAACTAAAAAATCAGAGACAGTTATACGAGAACAAAAAACAACTAAGAAAATGGCTCACTTAATGATAGGATCAGGTATGGAAATATCGATAATTACATTGAATGTCAATGGATTAAATTCCCCAGTTAAGAGACATAGACTAGCTGAATGGATAAGAAAACAGAAACCCTCTATCTGTTGCCTACAAGAAACTCACTTTATGGATAAAGATATACATAGACTAAAAGTCAAGGGCTGGAAAAAGATATTCCATGCAAATGGAAATCAGAAAAAGGCTGGAGTAGCGATATTGATCTCAGACAAAATAGATTTTAAAACAAAGACTGTAAGAAGAGACAAAGAAGGGCATTATATAATAGTAGATGGGGTAATCCAGCAAGAAGATATAACCCTTATAAATATCTACGCACCCAACTCAGGTGCGCCTAAATATGTGAAGGAAAGACTGCTGGAGCTAAAAGGAGACATAGGGAAAAATACTATAATTGTTGGAGATCTCAACACCCCGTTATCTCCTATAGACAGATCTTCTAGACAGAAAATAAATAGAGAGATACAGGACTTAAATGATACTATAAATGGAATGGGCTTGACAGATATCTATAGAACTTTCCACCCTACATCCACAACATATACATTTTTCTCACCCCGACATGGAACCTTTTCAAAGATAGATCATATATTAGGACACAAATCAAGCCTTTACAGATTCAAAGGCATAGAAACTGTACCCAGCATCTTCTCTGACCATGATGGAATTAAACTCAAGATTAATTTCAAGAAACAACCCCGAAAACACACGAACACATGGAAACTGAACAACCTACTTCTGAATGACTTCTTCACTACTGAAGAAATTAAGGCTGAAATAAACAAATTTATGGAAACAAATGATAATGAGGACACAAGTGTCCAGAACCTATGGGACACAGCAAAAGCAGTCATAAGAGGGAAATTCATAGCAATTAGTGCACATAAGAAAAGGATGGAAAGATGGCAAGTAGATAACTTATCATCATGCCTCAGAGAACTGGAAAAACAACAACAAACGAACCCCCAAAATGCCAGGCGAAAAGAAATAATAAAGGTTCGAGCAGAAATAAATGAAATAGAAAATAAACGAACCATACAGAAAATAAATGAAAGCAAAAGCTGGTTCTTTGAAAAGATCAACAAGATTGATACTCCATTGGCTAGACTGATCAAGAAGAAGAAAGAAAGAAACCAGATTAATCAAATATGTGATGAAACAGGCAATATTACCACGGACATAGCAGAAATACATAATATCATTAGAGGATACTATGAGCGACTTTACGCCAACAAACAAGATAACCTGGAGGAGATGGACAAATTCCTGGATGCATATAAACTACCAAGATTGGATCAGGAAGACATAGAGAATCTGAATAGACCTATAACAAGCCAGGAGATTGAATCAGTAATTAATAATCTCCCAACAAAGAAAAGCCCAGGCCCAGATGGCTTCACTTGTGAATTCTACAAAACTTTCAAGGAAGAATTAACCCCTATCTTACTAAAATTATTTCTAAAGATTCAAAAGGAAGGAAACCTTCCAAATTCATTTTATGAAGCCTCCATCATCCTCATCCCCAAAACAGATAAGGATATGACAAAAAAGGAAAACTACAGACCAATATCATTGATGAATATAGATGCGAAAATTCTCAACAAGATACTCGCAAATCGTATCCAACAACATATAACAAAGATCATTCATCACGACCAGGTAGGCTTTATACCAGGGATGCAAGGGTGGTTCAATATACGCAAGACCATAAATGTAATACACCACATTAACAGAAAGAAAGATAAAAACCATATGATCATCTCAATTGATGCGGAGAAAGCGTTTGATAAAATACAACATCCTTTTATGATTAAGACTCTCAGTAAGATTGGTATAGAAGGGTCATTTCTGAACACAATAAAAGCAATCTATGAAAAACCTACAGCTAATATTATACTGAATGGGGAAAAGCTGAAAGCTTTTCCTCTGAAAACAGGTACTAGGCAAGGCTGCCCACTTTCTCCACTGCTCTTTAATATAGTACTGGAAGTCTTAGCTATTGCAATCAGAGAAGAGAACAGTATTAAAGGCATTCGAATAGGCAAAGAAGAGTTGAAAATATCTTTATTTGCAGATGACATGATGGTATACTTAGAAGACCCAAAGGTATCCATGAAAAAACTGCTTGAAGTAATAAGTGAATACAGTAAGGTGGCAGGATACAAAATCAATATCCAAAAATCTATAGCATTTCTATTTATGAACAACAAGTTGAATGAAGCAGAGCTGAAGAAAGGAATCCCTTTCACCGTAGCCACAAGATGTATAAGATATCTAGGGATAAACCTAACTAAGAAAGTCAAAGACCTTTATAAAGAAAACTACGAGAATCTTAAAAAAGACATTGAAAGTGACATAAAAAAGTGGAAGGACATCCCATGCTCCTGGATTGGTAGAATTAACATAATCAAAATGGCAATTCTACCCAAATTAATCTACATGTTTAATGCAATTCCAATCAAAATACCAGAGATATTCTTCAGAGATCTAGAAAAGACAATTATAGAATTTGTCTGGAACCATAAAAGACCTCGTATTGCAAAAGCAATCCTGCGTAAGAAGAATGGAGTAGGAGGCATATCACTCCCTGATCCCAAGATATACTATAAAGCTGTGGTCATCAAAACAGCATGGTATTGGCATAAAAACAGACATGTGGACCAATGGAAGAGAATAGAGACCCCAGAAATAACTCCCAAAGCTTATAGCCAACTGATCTTTGACAAAGGATATCAGTCAATCCATTGGGAAAAGGAAAACCTCTTTAGTAAATGGTGCTGGAAAAACTGGGTATCCACCTGCAGAAAGATGAAACTGAACCCCCATCTTTCACCATTAACAACAGTCAACTCAAAATGGATCAAAGATCTGAACCTAAGACCTCAGACAATAAAACTACTTGTGGAAAATGCTGGGGAAACTCTGGGAGACATTGGAGTAGGCAAAGACTTCTTAAATAAGACTCCCAAAGCACAGGCAATAATCCCTAAAATAGACAAGTGGGACTATATTAGACTAAGAAGTTTCTGCACAGCAAAGGACACAGTAACAAGTGTGAACCGACAACCCTCAGAATGGGAAAATATTTTTGTTAAATATGCCTCAGACAAGGGACTGATAACGAGAATACATAGGGAACTCAAGTGCCTTATGCGAAAAAAAATGATTAACCCGATTAAAAGATGGGAAAGTGAGCTGAACAAAAGTCTCTCTAAGGAAGACATACGAACAGCCAAAAAGCATATGAGGAAATGCTCGACATCCCTCATCATAAGGGAAATGCAGATAAAAACCACAATGAGATACCACCTAACCCCTGTCAGAATGGCAAAGATTAAGAATATAAAAAGTGATAAGTGTTGGCGGGGATGTGGTGAAAAGGGAACCCTCCTACACTGTTGGTGGGAATGTAAACTAGTTCAACCACTGTGGAGAACAATATGGAGGTTCCTCAAAGATCTACAAATAGAACTACCATTTGATCCAGCAATCCCACTTCTGGGTATTTACCCAAAAGACAGGAGAACGCTCAGTCAGAAAAGTGCTTGCACATCCATGTTTATTGCAGCATTATTCACAATTGCCAAGACATGGAACCAACCTAAATGTCCACAAACTGATGAATGGATTGGAAAAGTGTGGTATATATACTCTATGGAATACTACTCAGCCATAAAAAATAACAAGACCCTGGAATTTGATAGAAAATGGTCAGATACGGAGGATCTATTGCTGAGTGAAGTAAGCCAGGCTATGAAAGAAAGATATTGTATGTATCCACTCAATATATACCGACTATCCGCACTCTATAATAGAGAGCAAAAATTCGGAGGACATAAACACAGTGAAGGTACTTAATGAGAATAGGACAGTGTGGAATGGGGTAAGTGAAGAGAAGAGGATAGAGAAAGATAGCAAGTGAACAATAGAGAGACAGGACGTTAGTGAGAAACAGATAGGGGTTATTAACTGTTGATGATGACATGTATAGTATTCTCAACTGGATTGGTCTGAGAAGTATTTCATGATGGGCAAAGTATTTTTACAAGCAAAACGAGAAATAGCAATTGACTGTTTTATAAAAATAATTAGAATAATAAAAATAATGATTGGGGAAAACAGAAAAGATATGGAATGTTGAAGTGGGGAGATTAATGTCTCTGTACTGACTGACATGCATGGCATTCCCTTTTGAAAAAACAATGTAATACACTGTAAAGTTATATGTAATCCAATGTAATATAAAGAAGATTATGATAATAAAAAAAAAAAAAAGACTATCAGGAGAAAAAATAAAAACAAAGTCGAAATCTGTTGAACTGAAAATTGTGCTACTGCTATGACATCTATCTGAGAATTATATGCAGATTAACGTTTTTCTAAAATACCTGTAGAAATCCTACTGACCTGTAATGATTTCTTCAATCTTCTTCTTGGCAAGCAATTCTTTTTTCCTTTGTAAAAGCATGTCAATATGGAACAGTAGAGCTTTCCCAATATTTTCTGATGACTTAAAATGTTTACAGATCCTCTTCAGGAAAAGAAACCCAACAGATTCTCTGTTCAATGAGACACAGTTTTAAGCAGTGTGAATAATAGAACAATGGGACTAAAATTTGTTTCAGTGTGAACAAAACAAGTCACATGAAAGTATATCTCATGGACTAGAAGGTACAATGAAGGTTAAGGCACTGAATTCCACATAGCCAACTACACAGTTTGAGTCCCAGACCTGGTGACTTGAAAATCACCATGCATATGCATGCATGCCCAAAATCTTGAGAGGAGATTAGAGGGGAGGACATTGTGGCATGGCCATCCCCCAATTGGGGAGTGGTTTCTCTCTCTCTTTCTCATCTCTCTCTAGCAAGTGCACATGCCTTATAGCGAAATTAAAAAAATATATTTCTAAGCTTATGTAATGCCATTAAATATCTAAATGAGCCCATCTGACAACAATAAATCATTTAATTTAATTTTGGTTTAATTTATTAAACCTTAGACACTCTCTTCATTAACTACTATAGTCAATCATTTCTCTACCAATATATAATTCACGCATTCTCCACAGAACTGATGTCAATTTAAAAAAAAATGGGTAACTAAGATTGAATGAAGTTCTATGAAAATGAAAAATGTACCAGTTCTTTTTACAAATCTAATTATATTTGAATTTACAAATAATATTCTAGTACATTCTGATTACTTAAAAATGCAAAACATTCACAGATAAGTCTTAACATTGTTAAGACACCCATACTCCCAAAGTCACCTACAGAGTTAATGCAATTCCTATTAAAATCCCAGTAACTTTTTTGCATAAACAGAAAAATCCATCCTAAAATTCACATAGAATCATAAAGGACTCCAAATAGTCAAAATAATCTTGGAACTGAAGAACAAACTTGAGGACTCATACTTCCTAATTTAAAAATTCATTACGAATCTATGGTAATCAAAACAGGCAGAACTGGCATAAGAACAGACACATAGACCAACGGAATGAAAGTAAGAACCTAGAAATAAATCTTGGCATGTATGGTCAAATGATTTTTGACAAGTGTGCCAGGACCATTCAATTGTGAAAGGACAGTACTTTCAATGAATGGTGCTGGGAAAATTGGATTCCTATCTTACATCATAAACAAAATCAAAGACCTAATATAAGAGCTAAACTAATTGCCTCATTTTGCAGAAGCAATTAATTCTATATGTAGTAAATCCAAAAACTCTACATAAAAAAACCCCTTAGAACTAATAAACAAATTCAGTAAAGTTCAGGAAAATAAACAAAATCAACATACAAAAAAACACTTCTTTTTTTTTTAAGTTTTTCTTTTTAGAGGTTTTTACTATATGGCACGTGTACTCACCAGAAAGACAGAGAGAGACAGAAAGCAAGAAATTACTCCCCAGGGGGGATGGCCATGCCACAATCCCTTCTCCTCCATTCTCCTCTCAGGATCTTGGGCATGCATGCACACACGCCTGGCATGAGTTTAAGCCACTGGGTCCGGGACTCGAACCACGGTCGACTATGTGGGAGTCCAGTGACACAGCCATTATGCCAACTGCTGGTCTCACAAAAAAATAACAGTTCTTTTTTTTGTTTGTTTTTGAGAGTTTTTTTCGCTATAGGGTGCGTGCACTCGCCAGACAGACAGAGAGAGACAGAAAGTGAGAAATCACCCCCTGGGGGGATGGTCACGCAGCAATCCCTTCTCCTCCATTCTCCTCTCAGGATCTTGGGCACGCATGCACACGTGCCCGGCGTGAGTTTTAAGCCACCGGGTCCAGGACGCGAACCACGGTCGACTACGTGGGAGTCCAGCGACATAGCCATTATGTTAACTGCTGGTTCCCAAAAAAGTAACAGTTCTTTACATCAACAACTAAATATTCAAAAAGGAAATCAAGTAAATAATCAAACTTATGATAGTATCAAAAATACAAAATACTTAGGAATAAATTTAATCAAGGGGATGAAATCTCTCTACCATAAAAACTGTAAAGCATAAATGAAAGAAATAAAACAAGGCACAAATAAATAGAAAGATATCTTATGTAAATGGCTTGGAACATTAATATTGTTAAAACATCCATACTAACCAAAGAGATTTATAGATTTCAGATAATCCCTATACAGGGTAGGTGGCATGGAGGTTAAGGTGGCTGGATCCCACATGGCTGACTGAGCAAAACATGAAAATTATGCCAGTTACATGTGTATGCACGCTCAAAACCCTGAGAGGAGAATGGAGGAGAAGAGATTGCAGCATGGTCATTCCCCTGGAAGGTGACCTCTCTCTCTCTCTCTCTCTCTCTCTCATCTGTCTCTCTCTGGTGAGCACACAGGGCCTTATAGCAGAAAAAAAAAGATAACACCAATAAAAATTCCAGTGGCATTTCTCATACAAATGAAAAGAAAAAGTAACAAAATTTATATGAAACCACAGAAGACCAGAATAGCCAAAGCAATCTTAAAAATAAACAATGAAGTTGAAGGCATCAGACTTCCTGATTTCAAATTGTGTTACAAAGCTATAGTAATAAAAACAGTATGGTACTAATATAAAAACACACATGGATCAATGGAACAGAATCATGGGCCCATGTTTGTAGCATGTACTCTGGATATGATGAGATGTGATGAAAACAACACTTTATCTGTGTGACCTCCTTCCCCTATAACCTGTAATCCCAGTTCAATCATGAGAAAACAGCAGAGAAATTATAACAAAAAGGCATCCCACAAAATACTTGACAGGTAGTCCTCAAGAATGTCAAGGTCACCAAAAGCAAATACTATCTGAGAAACTGTCACAGTCAGGAAGAATTGAAACAGATATGACAATTAAGCATAATATGGTATCATGAGTGGGATCTTGGAATAAAAAAGGGATATTAGGTAAAAGTTAAGTAATTCTGAATAAACTTGATTTTAGTTAATAATGTATCCATATTATTCATTAATTATAAAATATATACCATAATAATGTAGGATGACAATAACAGGGTAAGCTGAGTGCAAGGATATTGGAAAATTCCTTATACTGTTATCTCAATTTTTCTATAAATCTAAAACTGTTCTAAAGTTAAACATAAAACAAAAAAAATTAAATGGCAGGCTGCTGCCCTAACATATCAATAATTGCATTTAATAAAAATGATGTAAATATACCAACATAAAGAAAAAAATCAGTAGAGTGGATTTAAGAGGAAACAACAAAATGAAAAAGCAACCTATAATGTAGGTGAAAATATTTGCAAACCATATATAAAATAAGAGGGTAATACCCAAAATATATAAGGAACTCATCTAACTTAATAGCAAAAAATCAAATAACCCCACTTAAAAATGAGCAAAAAATGTATGTAGATGTTTTCTCAAGAAAGTATACAAATGACAACAGGTATATAAAAAATGTTAAATGTCATTGGTTATTAGTGAAATATGTAAAATACTAATCAAAACCACAATGAAATCTCACTTCACACCTATTAGGATGTCTATTACTCAAAAGTCAAGGGGACAGGCACTGTTACAGTGATAATGCAGCTGGATCAACTTGAGAAAGGCCCTGTGTTCACATCTTAGGACCTCACTGAATACAGTGGGCATATTTGTGCATTCCCATGATCCAGGCTGGCTAAAACTGGGGGGGAGGAGAATGGTGTGAAGACCCTATTGGGGTGTCTGTATCTCTCTCTCTGTCTTCATCTCTCTGTCTCTCCCTCATGGAAGAAATAAATTTTAATAAAAGCCAAAAGCTAAGTATTGGTAAGGATGTGGAGAAATTGGAATCCTTGCATACTGCTGGTGGGAATATAAAATGGTATAATCACTATAGGAAATAGTTTGAAAGTTCTTCAAAAAACTAAAGAATTACCATGTAACCCAGCAATTCCACTTCTGGGTATATACCCAAAAGAACTGACAGCAGGATCTTGGAGAGATATCTGTATGCTCATAGCAGTACTATTTACGTTAGCTAAAATGTGGAAGCAACCCAAGAATCCAGCAACAGATGAATGAAAAGCAAAATGTAGTTTATTTATATATGAAAAGAAATAGAGATCTTGGAAAACACGAATGAACCTAGATGATACTATGCTAAAAAAAATAAGCCAGACACAGAAAAACAAATACTACATTGTCTTACATATATGGAATCTAAAAATATTTCAAATCAGTAATAGAGATTAGAATGTTGGTTACCAGGGTCTGGGAGGTGGAAGAAGGGGGAGAGTCTGGTCAAAGGGTACACACTTTTCAGTTATAATATGAACAAATTCTAGATACCTTATGTATAACATAGTGACTGTAGCTAATAACAATATATTGTATACTTGAATTTTGCTAAGAGATTAAATCTCAAGAATTGTCTCAAAAAAAGGTATGTATGTGAGGTGATGTATATGTTAATTACTTTGATTGTGGTAATCATTTCACAATATGTATATATATCAAACTATCACAGCAAACACCTCAAATATATACAATTTTAACTTGGCAATCATGGGGTGGATTATGGGAGCAGGTTTTTTTTTTTAACAGCTTTATTGTAGTATAACTAATATATAATAAACAGTGCACTTTTGGGGTCAACCCTGCAGCACGGTGGTTAAACACTCTGTGTTGAGGGAGGTGGATCCCACATGGTGTACTACAATTCAAATCCCAGCCCTGGCAGCTTGAAAAACGTGGGAGGCATATGTATGCACATGCACAGGATTTTACCAGAAAGAGGGAACAGAGGAAAGAGGATTATGGCAAGACCAATACTATTGTGGGTATTTTCACTTTTTCTCTGGCGCACACATGTGCCCTCTGGCATTAAATTCTTTTTAAAATTTATTTTATACATTCAATCACTGTACATTAACACAGCTTATAAGATGAATTTTCCCAGCATGAATACACTGCAAATCAGTGTCCAGTTAAAGATATTATCATACACGTTATCATCAATAGACAATCGTCCATTTCTGTGTCCCTTAAATTTCTTTTTAACATATACAATTTGATGAGTTTGACATATGTGTTTTCCTGTAATAC